CCTCGAATGTCGTTTGTGGTGGATGTCAGTATTGCTTGCAACGGTCCATGTGTTAATTGCCAATAACCATTGAGATTCGCCACTTTGTGCCCTTTGATTTGTCCCCAAAGCATTTTGTTAGGTTGAGATATTATCTTGTTTGAAATGGTCTGCTTGGGGACAAGCAAACGTCTAATTGTGGGGGAGTGATTCGGGCCTAAATGTACACCTTATATCCCCTTTTCTCTTTGACGTTTGTGGCAATTGAGCTCCAAAAAAGGTGGTTTTACGCTAGGTTCCTTGTGTTTCAATGTGTTTTAGAGTCTAACAGGAGAAACCAACCCTGGAGTCGAAAGTTTGAAGAAAAAGAGCAAAGACCCTTCAAAGAGAATTTTTCAGCTGTAGTTCACGGTCAAAGCTTGGAGTTCATGTTCGACAGGACCGTGAAGTGGAACCACAAACCATGAACCGCGAAACGTCCAGAGCGGTTTCAGAGGTTACTGACACCGAGGCAGTTCCCGGTCGTAAGACCGTGAACTGGAGCCATGGATCTTGAACCATAGAAGTGAAGCGACGCGTTTTGATTAGAGTTCATGGACGCGTCCTGATTTTCACGGTCGAACTGGGGCCGTGAACTGGGCGTGATCTGAGTATAAATCGAGATCTGAAAGGAAGAAGAAAGGGTATCCCAAAGTGACAGAAACTTCTTTTTCTTGAAACCCTAGAGAGAGAAAGCACGAACCAAGAGGGAGAAGAGGCTAGGGTTTGCTCCAAGTGAAGATTTTGGAAGTTCCTCTTCGTTGGAGGATCTCTACGAGCACAAGGAGAGTTGGAGCCATCATAATTATGGTTTCTTTCTTCATCGTTTGTGTTCTTCCTTTGTCTGGCATGGAGTAGTTTCCCTTTTCACTTGGGTGTTGTAGAACCCTAACTACTATCATGTAATTGATTGTGTGTATTGAGTGATTGTGTGATGGTGGTGTTTAATTTAAGAATTGAGGTATTTTTATGGTGATTGTGCATTGTGTGTGCTTGGCAATCTATTGTGCTATTCTAACCTAGCTTAGAGAGAAGCCCACTTATCTTATGAGGCTCAAAATTGAGTTGGGTTTTCTTAGGCATTCCATGCCTCCTAACTAGGTTAATGAAGGACAAACCTCTAACTTTAATTAGACACCTAGGTTAATTATGATTTTTCCGCCCAGGCCTTGGTTTGAGAGAGAAGGTAAACCAACCCTCACTTGCTTGTGCCAAGATGGCTACAATTGTAGACTCTAATGGTTTCCTTGTCCTAGTAATTGGGAGGAAGGTTTCTAACCATTATTGCACCTCCTACGGGTCACAATTGCCTTGTCACACATCGTTTCATTCGATCCCACAGTTCATGGTAGTTAGTTAGGGGGAAGCAACACCCGAGTGAAGCTTCTCACCAAGAATTTTCCACCCTTTTACTTTTCAAGTCTTGCTTTTAAATAGTAGATTGTAGAGATTTCAACAAACAACATTCCGCTAGATAATGTTTCAAACAATCGAAGTAGGGGTACATGGGCCGGGCCGGGTTGATATTTAAACATACTTGCCCTATATTGCACCCATCTAAGGTTTATACTTGGGCCTTAGGTGGGATTTTATTGTGATAGTCGGAGCAAGTCAGATCGTATGAGAACTTAATAGGAAGGTTGAGCCAATTTAAAAGAAGCAGACTTGTTTCGGCGGAAAAGGCAATGACGAGGATCTTCTCATATATTTTTCCTATTGAAAAATATTTGAAAAGAAAATAAAAACCAAATTAGGACTCGATCAATCCCGTTACTGTTTAATTAATCCGTAAAACAATTGTCCTAATGTTGTAAGTACGTAAGGCAAGAATAAAAAATATTATAAACTAATTAATTTATTAACGAATATATTTGTACCAAACCATTGGTATTAATTATTTTATTGGAGTTCACTTATTCTTAGTTTTAAATTATGCTTAGTAGACGATGTCGGAATACAACTTTGAGTTGAACTATCTAGGCACAACATGAAAAACAAGAGCAAATTCCTTGAGCTATATCCCTTTCTCATGAATATTTTTGATTTACGAATTAATTAACAATTAAAATGATGATTCTGGTACATTAATCTTAAAAATTATCATTTTCAAAGTTATGTGTTTTTGTGTTATTGATATTATTATATGTTAGTTCTATATGGTACTTAAATCATACGATTTTATGATTCGATTTTACTATTTCGATTTTAATTCAGTTTTTTATTTTAGATAAAATCCCGATTTTGACGGTATTGGGTGTGATAACTTTCTTACTAAGAAATAATATAACTTAAGATCCGTTCAAGAAAAAGTGTTTTGAATCACTTATAAAACTTTGTTGAGACTACCGAATGGACTTAATAGACAATGAGGTCTCATATCCCATAATTGAACTCTATGCTAAAAACAAAATATTTATTTATTTGAAAAAGAAACTGACAAATATTGTTAATTGATAAAATTCTAAAACATAAATGCATTTTCGGAATGTGCGTGATCAAAATACGCATAATTAGTCGACCTTGAGTTGAATAATCGAAAAACTCACAAACAATCTATAAGAATTAAAATTGTATAAGATTCTATAAAGGAAATGCATCTTAAGATAAGAGTAATCGAAATATGGCTCAGAATAGGGTGCATAACCAAGGGTTATGCATACTTCCATAACTAAATCTAGACCATTTAATTTAAGTGAGTCCAGAAAATTCAGATCTAAGGGTTGAGAACTAAAGGTTTTTTTATTTTTCCTCGTTTTCTTAATCAGCTCTTATCTTCTTCGTTCTATAACTTGTGCTCTACAAAATAAGATCAATTTTTAATATTTTTTTAGAAAAACTTTCATACCTCTCGTTACCAACTACATACCATATGGTATCTCCTTCGTTTTTAAGTATTTTTTGAAAATATTTGCACATAAGGAACGGGTTCGTCATGGCTTATTGGATCTACAAATTTTTTAGGGGAAAATACATTACCAAAAAAATATTACACCATACCACCTTGGTATATATGGGGGTGGTATCTTGTGGTACATAATGTTGAAAGTCATAAATAACAGTTAGTATACTCCTATTATCATGTATTCAACCATCCTAGAGTATGATATGTTCATACCACCATGCTACGCTTTCATATCATATGTTATGCTCTTATTTAATACCATTCAATATCACCACGGTATAGACCGGTAAAAAATGTCTCAATTTTTTGTAACAAAAATATATCAAAGTGGATATCATTTTGAAAAATACAATTAATCTAATTTATCTATGAATTTATTTTAATTCTTACTTAAAACGAGAGAGAAATTGTCCGTTAAAAATAAAAGAGGAAAATATTAAAAGCCTTCCATAAGTGACACGAGGCTACTGAGGTGGCGACTGATGGTTGGATTATGCATGGTTATTGACAGGATTCGTTCCCTCGAATTAGGCATGATTAGTCGACCTTGAGTAAAATAGATTGAAATCTCGCAAAGATCGTTAATCTATTACAATTTGAAAAATAAAAAAATGCATCACAATAATACACGTGATTGAAATATGCATGATTAGTCGACCTCTAGTTGATCAAAATACGCTTGATTAGTTGACCTTGAGTTGAATAGTCGGAAAACTCACAAAGATTATTAATCTATAAGAATTCAAAAATAAAAATGTATCGGCATAATACACGTTATTTAAATATGCGTGGTTTGTGGGCATGTATGGTCATAATACACGTTGTTTAAAAATTCGCAAAGATCAGTAAATCTTTAGTTGAGTAGTCGAAAAAGTAACAAGAATTGTTATTTGGTAAAAATTTAAAAGTGGAAAACACATCACGTGGTCTGTGGGCATCTGTGAATTCTTTATTCTCCGGTACGTGGTGAAAAATTATTCAAAATTATTCAACGTGAAGAAATTGTCAACAATGAAAATGTGGAGTTTCATTCAACCAAATGAAATTGCCACTAAAGTTCATGATAATTACAAAACAATTGGAAATGTGGAGTTTCTTTGGACCAAATAAAATTGCCAAAGTTCATGAAATTACAAGATGCACACGAAATGAATAGTAAAAGCTTTTATATATCATTATTGGATATGTGAGAGGCTAGTGAAGACCAGGGATCGAATTGAAGGGTTTATCACTTGTTGGGATAGTCTGATTGTATGAAGCAACAAAAGGATGATTAAGTGTTCTGTTAGAACTGTTTGATTGGATCTGCAGGGGAATAGACCTAAAGTGCCATGGTACAGTCTCACATGGTCTAGATACTCTATTCCTAGAAATAGTTTCATCAGCTGGCTAGTGATCAAGTACAGGATAACAACCAAGGAAAGGGTGGTGCAGTGGGGAAGATAACCAATGATGCTTGTGCGCTGTGTGGATCAATGCAGGAGACACGTTCCTATTTATTCTTTTCTTGTAGCTACTCTACAGTTGTTTTGAGTGATTGTATATATGATGATAAATCAAACGTGTAATGTTTATACGGATTTTGATGGGTATCTCAATTGGGCCATAAGGAAGTTTACAGGTAGAAATCCTGAGGCTAAGATTGGTCAGCTAATAAGGAATTTGGTGATCAGCTTAGTTTGGAGAGAAAGATTTAGTCTGTTGCATGGTGAGCAGGGGATTCAGCCTGCTGGTGTTGTCAACAGAGTCGAAAGATGATTGGAGTTGGCAAGGACAGGAAATGTTGAACTGCAACAAGTTTGCAGTAGGGTGCTTTGTCACAGTAGTCAGAAATAGTACTTTTTTTTTGTGGTGTAGGCATATTGCTTTTTCAGTTTTATCAGTATTACAATTTGGTTTAGTCGCTGCTGGTCAGCAAGGTTGTAAATCTCCATTTGTGGGGCTCAATTGAGCTCCATCATGTGCTTAACATATTTTTTTTATTGCCCATAAAAAAATGGAGCTTAACAGGCAACAGTGCAATGACAGCCTAAATCTTTTTAACTTTCCTGCACAGAGCCCAACTCCTAAACGAATGCGCCTTCATTCTATTCTAGAAGAGAGGCCGTAAGGTCCAAAATGAAAATCATGAAGCCAACGAGAGGGAGAAGATAACAAAGTAGCATCAGACTATGGATAACCAAAGAAGAAAACAACAGGGAGCAGGGGAGCTACGGCGAGAAGAACCAAGGTCTTTTTTCCAGCTCGACTGTCTAACTGGCGATTCGAGGCCTGCCAAGACCATCTAATTGTTATTCAAGAAAGATCACAGGCTCAACTCAAGAGATACCAAAAGCAAGATAATCCTCGTGGCTTTCTCATGTCCCACAAACCAGGAGCCCCCAAAAAATTACCATGGCAGGCTTTCTCATGTCTCATTTCATCCACTGAAAGCAACACCAAAAACAGTTATTGACTGCACACCCTCTTCCAGCACCCTGAAAAAAACGGACAGGGCATGTTTCTGGAAATCAATTTCCTTCAGTCGATTGCCAGGTCCTGAACAACATACAGAGACTAAACAAGAGAAACCAGGAAAGAACGACTAAGATTTGTCAAACAGTAAGCTACACCCATTATCCCTCTTACTAACCACAGTCGAGCAAAAAAAAAAGTCTACAACTTTCTTTGTAATCCTAGAGGACCCAGAAAAGGGAAATGAAATAAAACCAATATGGAATACCAGTAAACCAGTTTTGGGGGAGAAAGAAAGATCATCTACAACTTCATGTTCATTTGAAGCTACTGTAGTAAAAAAAAAGTCTCAAAGCATGACAAAAGAATCAATTAAAAAATGCACTGCAAGTTCCAACAGCTCCCCCTTCATTTCTTTCCCACCAACCCAAAAAAGAAAAAAGAAACAGAAAAAAAAGCTACAGACTTCTTTTAACTTACACCTAGTGGCAAATACTGGACAATCCTTTTTAAAGTTTCTGGCTTTCCACTGGTTCTTCCTCTCGCCACTGTTTTTTTCCATTTGTAGGACGAGCTACCACTACAATCAATCACATTTTTCCTTTGCTACTGATACTTCACATCAACCCAACACATTCTCTTCAGAATAACAATATCTTCGTCATCTTCTAGCTTCTAGAAGATAAGAAGTGGCAAAAAAGGGAGGTGAAAAGGGAAAGAATTCTTTGTCGGGGGAAACTTGCAGAGAGCAAAGGGAAAGAGTGCAAAAGAGAATGTAGCTACTAGCAAGCTGCCCAACCCGGGTACGAAAAACAAGTTGCCTCATCATCGTGGATACACCGCCAGTTGATAAACAGCTGCCTCAGGACCTCGCAATACAGTAAAAAATTAGCATACGGAATTGTTGTCCTACAGATTTTGAAGGGGGCTTCATCATCATCATCATCCAAACTGTGAGTGTAGAAGATCTGTTGTAGTAGCCTCCACCCTAAAACCGGTCGGTGGGAATGGAAAAAAGGAATTCTCCTCCAACAGCAACCCAGAATAAATCAACAGACTCGCAGATTCGTACAACTTCTTGCTGCAACCGTTGGATGTCTCCTTTTACGCATAGTACATGTACAAGCTGTTTGCTGCTGCACAGGCGATTGAGTTCTCCGTAGGATGCCATGCAAGGTGCAGCAATTTTGTTGCAGAGTCGAACGAATTCCCATTTGCATCGACACCCGGGCTTTCCGCTCCTGACAATGATACTTATATATTTGAGCAGGAAAACTAGGGGGTGCAGGGTAAGAGAGATGAATGAGGTACAAACCTCGTCTTACGACACGTGTTAAAGTGGTTAGGGATCTTGAGGGCCTTGAAGGGGTCTGAACTTGTCTCCTACAAGTGAAAGAACAGAGTTAGTGAGATCCCATACTAAGCATACTTTATCATGGAGATTAGTAGTCAAATAGAAAAACTACCTCATTGGATTTTTGCTGGCTTCCAAAGTCGTTGCCTCAGTACTTCCAGGGGAGCAACCAAAAACACGGAACAGATTGCTGCCATTGCAAAGATAAGATACTTGAGATGCATTCACGATCATGAAGTTCCCTTCTTTTATCACATTAGAACACATACCTATAAGAACCAGTAGCTACGCGAGACCCATCTCCACTCAAACAACACTCGAATTTGTCGAAGATGGAATCATTTTCATACAAATCACACAGCTGCAAACAATAAATTTTATGATTATCAAAGATATCGTATATTACATTTAAGCCTCCCTTTGAAAGAAATCTCACCTTGGGTCTTAAATATTCATGGACCTGGAAGGTTGAAACTGGGCCTGAATCCATATTGATATCCCACAACTAAGAGCAGAAAACATTGGAAAGGAAATCAGAAACAAGCATCCAACAAGGTAACTTACTATATGAGGACCTGGAAAGATCGACAAACTTGCACAGGCATATCGACAAGAACTGTAATGCTCACAACATTTTTTTATAACGAAACACAGTAATTTAAATCAAATTCATAGACATAATCAAAGGTAGAGACTATGATTTAAGCTAGATACAGAGGGAAAAAAACGTGAGAGGTCATGCATCATAATTCCAACATGACGCGCTGTAGATGAGTTCATTTTCTACTCAAGAGTCTGTTTCAAACAAGTATCTGAAACTCTGATGCAATCATAAACCCACACCGGATCCATTGCCATGCTACTTTCATGTCTAAAGCTAACAACATTAACTTGAAGCCCAGGACTTTATTCAACACAAGTAACTTCTGTTATGATGTAACCTTTGAGTAACTTCCAACACGATCTTTGGAAAATGCTTACTAACAAGTCATTAACCAAATAAACTTTGATTATAGCTTCAAAAGCAAAGAAATCAACTGATAGTTTTTCCACTAGAGTTGAACCTGGCCACCTCTCTCAAATACTGAAATGGTGCTTCTAATGTCCTGGACAGAGTTCCAGGACAAAAACAAGCAAAACACGGTGACAAACAAGTGCTCTTTCTCCAGCGCAAGGTGTTACACATCAGCCTCTACAGAAGATTTATGGCAACCCTTTGAAGATGTGGATATTTGTATTTAATCACATTTAGAAACTTCAAAGTCAGACATTAACGTTTTCACTCTCTAAAGGGGCACAAACCTTTAGCGTCATGTAATCACGGCTAAGCAAATATCGTCCATCTTTTGCAAATTTAATATCAGAGATAGAAGCGATTATCTCTGTGAAAAATGACCTAGAGCCAGGCGCCTCCTGTTCCTCAAACCTGTGACAAAGGGAAACAACTAGTTAGACAGTCTACAGTTTCTGAGGCATATAACTGACTCGCTATTTCTTAGCAACCCACAACCAGGCGTAAACTAACAAATGTGCTTCTCTTAAATAATCCCTTCTTTTAACCAACTTAGTCAAACCAAAAGCAGAAAATGAAATGTATAACAAAACAGAGGTATCTATAAAGGACTAGACAAAAAGCAAGAGACCAGAACACATTCATCACTCACAATTTAGCATGAGAGTCACAGAGAGCTGATTGCCGCAAATCAATTAGTCTGATTGAGCCTTTCGAACTGCTATATGCTAACATATTACATTGATTGGGGTGGAATTCTGCCGAAGTTATCACCTCTGCACAAATAATGTCAGACATGTCAAGCAGGAGACCAAGGAAAGCTAAGAGCGGGCAAATAGGCAATAACTTTCTACACACACCATGCTTTCTATGTGCAATAACTTGTTATCATCTATTATATCACTTACCAGTTAGATCCTCCATATTTCCAGGTTTGACATCAACAATATTGAAACTTTGGTTGCTAATTTCCAAGTTCCAAAGATTTATTCGCAGATCGTCAGCTGATATAAAAGTCTCACCATCACTACAAAAAGTGGAGAAAAGATGTTATCTCTAGCCTCGTAAGCCAAACGAAATTAATAGATTAACGGAATGACAAGAGATGCTCTTGCATGCAAATAGTACAGAGACTTTTGATGTCATGTGTAAATACTAAATACGCAAGACAAAATTGAACCACATGCAACAGTTTCCCCTGTTGAAAGATTTTACGGAAGCAAATCATAACACGATTACCAGTGTAAAGGTGAAGGTGTAAAATTAAAAGCAGAAAGTTGAATTTAATAGAAAAAAGAATGTGAAGAACTAAGGGGCAGCGACTGAGAAAATATAATATAAGTGGCATTTCATCACAAGCAAAACAAAAGTAATTAATCAAATAGATTCAAATACCAAAGATGCACAGTTACAAAACAGGTTAAAAAATAATGGACGAGTGAGCCTACCTATTGTTTGAAATGGAATTAATGTGATAATCATGAGCGTGAGCATAAACCCTACGACATCTTGCCACCAGACTCGTCTCAGCGCTCGTAACCTACATCATATGACAGTCAGGATCCAGATAGCATAAGCAGTTGAATATAATAGATTTTAATAAGATGGTAATTGTTTCCAAATTGGCACTTCCCAGCTATAGCAGACAGAAGCACTAGCAGAATGTAAGACACAAACAAGTCAAGACAGAACGGCTATAATCTATCCAGATGTAGCTCAATGATATAGCTGCAAAGCACTCATAAGCAAACACCATAATCCGTAATCTCTTGAATTCATTTCTCTAAATAAGTTCCACCAAAAGTTGATTTTCCAGTTTAATTAATATCATGGCTAGGTCAAAAATCGAAAGAAAGAGTGTGCATGGAAGTATAAATATATGTGCAGAGAGCAATGAAGTGGTACAACTACCACCGGCAAACGCAGCGATGGGAAGCCTCCAGCTGGGATGGAAAAATCATTGCCAGGAGAGTTGTGCAACCTGTCAGTGCAACCTCCATTTGCAAGATATGGCTTAGGTGCACTTGAATTACTTGAACTAGCAACACTACCATTTCCTACAGCTTTTGAAGGATCCACATTCATCTCAGAGATTTTCTTAACCTTCTTTTCTTGGACCTGTTACCAGGCAGAAAAAGAAAAGAAATCAGTGGTTGCAAAACACATCCAAGCACCGCCTCACAAGATACAGTATCTGATTAACAATGGCATCACAACAGTAAACTATGTCAATGAGTTATTAAGCAGGGAAGTGACAAATTGTTCCTCTGTGGTAATACACAGCTCAAAGAAAATCCAGTATAGCTCATTCCCATTATACATAGCTGTTTCAAGTATTTAAACAAATAATATCAAAATTGTGGCAAACTACAGAAAGTATTATACACAGTTAAGCAATAACTAGATGATGTGTCATATGGGACATAATTGCCAGCTAAAACCGTTGGCAACAGCTGAGGAGTTCCGACTCAGTGTATAACTGACACTCCAAATTTAGTCAGTTTATGAATAGATAAACATTAAAACTACTTCAATCATCTGGTAAAAGATACTTTCCAGTTACAACAAGATGATGGATATTCCGTACCTTCCAAAACTTGATTGTTTTATCATTTGTAGATAGAAGAAAAAGGGCACCGTTGGCTGTTTGGCACCATCTAATTTTGTTGATTTTCTCCTCTATTTCCAAACTCTTGAGATAGTCGAACTGGTAGAAAGGAAAAGACATATGAGCAACATCACCTGAAAGGAAAAACATGTTACAATAAACAGAACTTGCCCCAAGTATACCTCAGGTTCATGGCTCTGAAATTCTGTTTTGTAACGGAACTCAGGATGCCTGGTAATTGGATAATCCATCCTTTCCAAATCTCTCCTTGATCCACCATGCTACAGATCAATGATAACCACATTAGTAAGCATGACATATAACAAATAATTGATTGTATGATAACTTCCTATAAAATTTATAGTGAAGGAATAACACACATCCTTCGTATCTGTCCTCTCAAAAAGGACCACCCGTCCTCCGCGGTCCCCAGTTGCAAGATGATCTCCAGTTTTATCAAATTCAATGGCTGAAATAATGTCAACTGCAGACAACAAGAAAAGAATTAAGGGACATGCATCATTAGGACAACAGTAGTAAAATGATAATAGAGAATAAAATAAAATAATGCCAATTCAAACATCAAAAAGGGAAATTTCACACTCGATTAGGCACTACAAAAAATACGCGTCCGTAAAATTCTTTAAATTCCTTGGACAGATATCACCGATTTCAATGCACATATGAATACAGCAAATGCCACAACACCAAAACCAAACTACAGAATTCTAGTGCTCCATAAAGTTTTATCCCCGTAGCTTGGAATTACATACTGTAGCACTGTATCTCCAGAAACATAATCTTCCAGACCAGCTTCAAAATGCATAGAACCAGAAATTCTATTGTGTGTTATGGTAGCTGGCAACTGATCCCAATCTTCACGCATCCACTACCTAGAACTTTCCAGACCACTAGCAGTATTAGGTTTTATCAACTGTAGCCACCTTCGCACTTCATAGTGTTTCAGTTGGTTTGCACCAAGACCGGTAGAGGCAAACAATAATTGCTTTCCAGATCCCCGTGTGCAAACTATGAAGCCATCAGTTAAATGGCATAAACTAAAACTCAGTGGAGAGAGTCTCACCAACTGATAAAACATTTTGGCTCAACAATGTGCTTATCAATTCCTCCACTAACTAGGGATGCCTTAATTATGTATGGTCAATCTTACAAGCCTCCTCGCCCCAAGAGAAGCAAATTGCCCAACACATGAAAGCACAGAAAACCAGCTGGTTACTTTCAAGTATAGGGCAGAAAGAACGAGTAGTGGGTCAGGCATTCTTCTATAGACCATCTTACTGTGTCGGATAATAATCCATGCAAAAGACCGTCTTATGAAACTGCATACAGTTCAAGTACTTTAATCTCTTGATTGCCAGATCAGTGTAACCAGACACTTCCAAACTACTTCAAACTATTGAATAATGATTGCAAAGTGGACTTCTATCTAAATCTAGAGCTTATGTGGTTGAAAAGCAAGAGGAAAGGATCTCGAAAGGAATAACAGTCATATTCACCGTAGTAAATTCAGGACAGAGACTGCAGATGCAAATTTCAGGACTGCTAATCCAATTCACTGCTGTGTCAACTATCAAGACCGAACCAAAGCAATACACACCTAAGCTCCAGCATCCACAGCTTTAACTGACCCAATCTACAACCAGAAAACCTTGCATGCACTTAAACAATGAAAGGGAGATGAAAGTAAAGGAAACCCAATAGCTCACTAACGTCACAAAGCTCACTTCCCACTGTCTACCCTCTCAATCTAATTAATCTCAAAACCAATCGCCATTATCGTCCAAAACGCAACAAAACTCCAGAACAAGATGACAAGCACACATTGACCCATAAACCTAGGACTACTTCCTCATCAACAGAGCACGATCCATTTCGGATCCAGAATCTAGAAAACAAGCCCTAACTTGCAAGATCCAAATAAAAAGCCTATTCACCTTCTTGTAATTCCTCGCCGGCAGTGCGCTCGCCGAAGACCTGAGAGAATTTCCACTCCAGAGCCGGTGGTGGGCCCGCCGGAGTTGCTGCTGCGACCTCATCGCCACCGTTCATTTTGCTATCTCTCTCTATCTCTATATTCCCCCAATCTATATCTTCTCTATCGAATCTTCCTCCTTGTTAGGGGAAACAGAACCAAATGATGAAACAATTGAATCGAAGAAGGAGAACAACAACAACAAGCAAAGCTGAACCAAGGTAGATGAAGTCCACTCCAACAAAATCAAGACCTAATCACCAGAGATCGCATCTCTGGTTTCATTCCGCAAATCCAAGAAAACCCCATCAACCAATCTGCTTCCTCCTCTCTCTCTCCTCTTTTTTCCTTTTTCTCTTTTTCCGTCTTAATTATCAAATGACTACAATAGATTCTTCTAATTCAACCATTGAAACAGAGCTCCCTTCTTTCTCCTTTCTGTTGTAATTTTTCTTCCCTTTTTTTCTTCTCCTATGTCTCTCTCAAACAGACCCTCCCAAAAAAATCATTTCACCCTCTCTATAAAGTATAAACGATCAGCGGAAGGTAGGAAAAATGAAAATTTGGTATAAGAAAATAAAATAATTTAAAAGTGAAAAGTTGGATCCTTTTATCTTTCTCCCTCGGCGTTGCTACGGAGAAGATGAGAGAGAGGAGATTAGGAGAAATTGGGGATTTTGGTGGTCTACTTCGTTTGGTCCTTGAAACTCTTACTGACTAACAAATCAGTCCTGACATGACAAAATACTATGGTCCTACATGTGCGAGTTGTGCGAGTTGGTTATGTCTACTTTGTCAATGTTTCCCACCAATTTGATTAATCCTTTTCTTATTGAAATTTCAGTGATTGTTTTGTTTGTATTCCACATATAATTTTATATTAAACTGAGTTTTAAATTTTCTTTATAAATTTTTAGATAAATTGAGATATATATATATATAAGGATTAATTGAAGAACAAAATTGAAATAAGAAGTTAGATGATTGAGTTCTCAAAAATCCAAATTCTTTAATTTTATTTGGATAACTAATAAAATGGATTGTCCTTTATTTTATTTAACTATATAAAAAGTTCCATTGCGCCCTTTTTTTAGCAGGATTCATTTTTTAAACTCGTTTCATTATTTCAGACAGAACATTTTTTCCCATAAAATTCTATATGGATATTTTAAAAAATAGAATTCTATGAAAGAAGAAATTATTAGATTTATTTTCCTTGATGACGTGATGCGATATCGACAAGCACTATATTTCATTCCCGTGGTCCAAAAATGAAGATTCAAATTGAAAGATTTAAGGATCAAATGGGAGCATTCTTGATGGATAAAATGGAGAATGCATTAAGGATCCGACCTACAACATTTCTTGGAGCCCAAAACGTCCATCCTTGCTGCCCAAGTCGTCCAAATGTGAAAAGGGCAAGGAAAGAGATTGCTTAACCACTAAGGAGCTTCCTTAAGCATTAAAAACGTGTTTGGAGATTACTTAGCTGCTAAGGAGCTTCCTTTGATCATAAAAACGAGCTATAGTCCTTATTTAAGTAGTATTATGTTTCCTAGTTAGTTTGGGATTTGTTTTCCTATTCCTTTTAGGTTAGTTTTATGTTTTTGAGACCTCTATAAATAGAGGATGTAAGAGCTACGAATTTTGTACCCAACATTCAAGTTTCAACAATCGAATACAAGTGTTTACAAGTTCAAGTGAACGTTTTGCTTATTCGCTCCTTTGAGGATTCGGGAGGTTTGAGTGGTCTCTTATCAACTAGAGAACGCGTCTAGTTGTGGCGAGCATCGACGATATCGGTTGGCCTCTTCCACGGGTTCGAGATTGTTTGGAAGGTTTCATATACCTTCTGGCCCTTCTCACGAGTTCGGATTTGTTTGATCGATTCCGCAAGTATCTTTATTTTCGTGTTATTTAAAGAAAGGAGAAAACCCAAAAAAAAGAGTTCGACATTGTGCAATTCTGATTTTTGGTCCAAGTTTGGGTGGATTCTCGAATTAGGATCATATCATGACGTTTAGCATAATCCATCGCATCTGTATATGTGTCATTACCATATTTATCTAATTATTGTCATTTACGTTATTGTCATTAGTCGGTTAGGGTTAGATAGTTATATAAACCTTTGTTATATCATTCGAGCATATTATGCGAACAATAATATAAAGTTATTAGTTTTTATCTGTAGTTTAGCTTAGAAGTAAAAAAGCTATTCATCAAATTAGTATCAAAGCGGTTGATCCGCTATTTGAATACGATGGTTGACTTCTGGAACACCCGTTACCCTCAAACTCGCTTTCAATCGCCATAGATTTGGGTACCAGAACTCACGACATCCCTATCCTTCTAACGGCTATAGGGAATTCACTGCCACCATATAACAAGCGAGAGATCAAGGAGATGGTATGTATGTTTCACGTTCGTGTTTATAAGTAACCTACGACTCACAACTTTACCTCTAAACCAATCCTCGATTATACCGGCCCTAGACGGTCGCTTTGGGGAATAGCCCTTAGATCCTCTTTGATTGTATCAATAGAAAAGGGTGTTAGCAATTCCTAGCTCAAATGCACTAAAGAGAGGGCACTCCGTGGGAGCAATGCAGTCAAAATCGGGATTTTAATCGTAAAATCGTAGGATTTTAGGATTTTACTTAGGGATTCCGATCCTGATTTTACTATAAAATCGGTGGACCTTAAAATTGTTCAAAATCGGGATTAAAATCGTTAAAATGGTAAAATCGTATCAAAATCGGGATTTTGATCCTTTGTAAACAAAATAGGCGGTTTGAGCCAATTCCAAAAAGCAGAACTGTTTCGGTGGAAAGGGAATTGACAGGGATCTTCTCTGATATTTTTCCTATCAAAAGAACATTTCAAAAGAAAAAAAACAAATTAGGGTTAGATTAACCCCTTTCTCTTCCCCTTGTTTAACTCATCGATAAAACAGCTATCATAATATTGTAAATACGTAAGAATTAACATCATCATTGACAAATAATTAATTAATGAATATAATTGTACCAAACTAACGACACTAATTATATTATTGGAATTCACTTATTCTTAATTTTAAATCATGCTTAGTAGACGATGTCGAAATACTACTTTGAGTTAAACTACCTAAACACAACATGAAAACAAGAGCCAAACCCTATGAGCTATATCCCTTCCTCATAAATTATTTTGAGTTACGCATTAAATAACAATTAAAATGATAATTTTGGAACATTAACCTTGAAACTTATCATTATAAATGTTATATGTCTTTGTGTTATTAATGATTTACCTTATTAATATTATTATATATTAATTTATATATGGTACTTAAAATCCTACGATTCTACGATTCGATTTTACGATTCTGATTTTACCCCAGTTTTCGATTTTAGGTAAAATCCCGATTTTGACTGCTTTGCATGGGAGGCAACCCGTGTATGGTGTCTAACTTAAAGGAAATAAAGAAAAGTAGTGACGAGAGATAAGTCATCTTTGATTTCAGCACCATCATCAATAAAGATTTTCGACCCTAGATTTATGGGTCGTACCTAGTACCACACATCATGGAATGACGAGAATATGGTACCATAAACTACTTATGCAAGTAATGGTGATCTTAAAACCTCGTAATCTACAAATTTGCGCTCAAATGAACGAGTGGTGCAGCCCTTCCGAGTGGAAGTAGCCCTATGCAAAATCATACATGCCTATCTTAAATAGTGTTAGGCTGATACTTAGTAAGGGGGTATGGTCCTAATAGTGCACCTCCAATTCAAAATTATTATGGGCATTTGCTCCTGTCTTACAATGACAATATCTTGAATGAGATTGTCAAAGGCATGCCCCATCATCCCGTCAACAATTACCTTTCTCTTGAACTCTTTCATGGTGGCAACCAATCCTTGAGGAGTATAATGAAGTTGACGGGGGTTGACGTAGATGTCCTCATATATACCCGCCGTGGGAAACGTGTACCATCACTTTCCCCAGCTTTGACCATGAATATGCACCTAGATCATCCCTATGTCGACCATTGCAAAACATTTGTTTGCTTACTCTTTGCCATTGTAAGATTTTTGCCCGCACCACCCACCACGTTTTCTTCCTCTTCGTGTTTTATCTTCCTAATATCCTTAGTTCGGATACTTGTGAATACATGAGCGGATGCATGTGTTTGCTTGCATTTCAGCCCTTTGAGCTTCATATGTCCATTCGACGTAAACGTGTGACAGTTTGCTCTTATGCTTCCTTTGTCATATCTTCAACGCATGCCTTTATCGAATTACGTTATGATGGAGTTGGGAAGAATGGATGTGAAAGAGAATGGTTACTTGGTCGATTGGATGATTTTTTTTATGTCTATGGATTGAGATTGGGTGACCTCTATTTATGCCATAGCACATAATGTCCATACGTTGGTGTCTAGCTTGACATTGGTTTCAATTTCCTAGTTTAAGCCCTGATCACTTGAATATGTGCAGGTTATTGGCAGATGTTAGCATGTATCAACAACTATCCCATCCTACACCAAGTTTAACCTAGAACGGCATTGACGTATAGTGGTAATCAAGGTCGTATTATACTCGGGTCCTGGTACCCTCGCCCACTTCCCACCTAGTTGCTAAGTAGTTAATCGATATTGAGGTTTTGAGTGGAGGATATGAGGAAACACTAGTCTAAAGATCGATCAAAGCTAAAAGCAGGTACTTCGGGGAACTATCCCTCCCTCTAGCTTAGGGTCACTATGCATATCTAGATACTTAGGGTCATCGCATGTGGTGAGTGAGCTCTTTTCTGCATGCTTTCGTGGTTATCCACACGCCTCCGAGTACACCTCCCTAAACCCATGTTCTAGTCAGCTCGATCTAGGCTATCGTATCTGGGGCATTAAGCTTATCGCTCATTTCAATGGACACTATCCACCATCCACACTGAGGTTTCATCTCGGTTATCATCTAGGAAGGCTACCTATAGTAGGGGTTCGATCGCCTCGACCACTATAGGACCCCATTCACACATCTAACCTAAACTCGCCAGATGGCGCATACACGTCTAACCCTAAAACTCTGTACCCAGCGCGGTGGCATAAAGTAGGCTAAGAGGGAAGATTAGGGCAAATTACCCAAGCGTCATCATTTAGGAGAGAGTGGCATTAAAATCAACTAGACAAACACATTCATTCATTCAAACCCTAAAATATCCATATATACATTGTAAACCCTAAAACTAGGGGTTGGGGTTTAGAACCCCTAGTACCTTAGAGGAATACTCCATAAAGGAGGGAAGAAGATATATGGTAGAAATAGAAGAAGACTTGGGGTTGAAGAAGATGCCTCCTTGCTCCTAGCTCCTCCTTCTCCTTCCTTCAGCTTCTCTCTCCTCTCTCTCTAGAACCAGAAAGTTTCTCTCAAAATCAGCTCTCTTCAAAATGGGAAAGGGGTCTTGTATTTATAGGAATTATGCACACATGAAAGTTCGCGGACTGAGGTAAGGAGATCGCGGGCTAGAACTTTGGTCTCTAGGCTGTGATCTCAAAACGCAGTCTTCAGGGCCTTTGGAAAGGGGAAGATCGAGGGCTGACTTCGAGGTGGTGATCCACGAGTCGCGGTCGCGATCTTCCTTACGAAGAGAATGAACATCAGTCGT